GTTACAAAAATTTGACTCCAAAAGAATCGCAAGCTTATTGCATAGCCCTTTACTTCAATGTTAAATTGACTTGCCTTTGTATCTTTTTCGATGAAGTTTCATTTAGTTGAAGCCTTTCACGTTAAGGTATACGCGAGATAATAATTTACCAAAATTATTTACATTTATGCAAAATTCGTGACAATATTAAGTACAATGCATTTAAAGGTTTGAAACAATATTGTAATCTCAATTTTTATCAATATTATTATAATTCACAGTTTTTTTCAGAAACTTCGTTCAGTCTATTGAAATTCCTAGCTTTAATAAAATACTAATTAAATCATTATTAGCTTCAGCTTGGGGTTAATGTAAATCGTGTATGCAATATGAAAAGAACGATTTATCTCAAATAACAAAAGTTATTATATGAAGCATAAATTAAAATTTAATTCGTCGTAGATATTGAGTGAAATCTGTTAATATTGCAAAATATTACTTGTTATTAATGCAACATTAAATGATTTCAAAATTTATTTTTATAGCAATATATTTCTTTCTAGCGCTGTGTTTTCTCTCAGTTGCGTTTTTCTTCCTGTAAAATGCCTTTTAGAAGGGTCGAATCAACGCGCTTATAATATTTTGTTCTCTGGTTATTCGCCCCCATATCCTATCTATTTTTTTTTAAAGCACTGAAGAATTCGTTCAATTACGAAAGGGCCTTCAAATTTAGGGCAAAAAGTTTCCTCTTTATCTTCAGGTGTACATGAACGAGAACGTTTAATTTTCAGAACTTTATTTCCCACGTTAAAGTACACTCGCGCCGTTTCTTATCATAGTATAATTTTTGTTTTTTATTCTTTTTATTCGAATTAAAATCAGTTTCGTCGACTATTAAAATCGTCACCGGAATATCAGCCATTTTAATAGTCATATCCGCAATTTTAAATCCATTTCAGTCATTTTAAATTTCTTGCCCTTTTTTTGAATGAAAAGTAGTTTTTTAAATGAGTAATTAGCTTCCTGCCAAAAAATCATTCAGTTGGAGTTTTCCGATAGTATCATGTTTAACCGTCCTCAAAGCAAATGCCAGCCCATTGAGCCAGCTGTGCCAGCGCTTATGATAATTCTTTACTTAACTACGAACAATATTAGTTGCATTTTTACTTACCCGCTCTCTGCCATATTCAATTGCTGCCGATAGGGAACCATTTTAAGATGACATATGCCACGCCCTGCGCATAAATCCGCAAAGACTTGACTAACAAACTATTTACCATTGCTCGAAATTACTTTCAAAGGAACTCCATATTTTAAAATAAACTTATATAGGAAAAATTGGACACAATTTTACCAGAGACTCTTTTTAGATGAACTATTTCTATTCTTTTGAAAAAGGTCCGTCGTGAAGAGTAAGTACCTGTATTTGTTCACCTTACCACATGAGTATGGGCCTAATAAACAAATTTCTATTAATTCATTTGGGACAGTGACCTGCATGCTATTTATATACCTGGCCGAGCTATAATGACATTGTTGACTAATTGGCAAGCATAGCTTGATTATGTATACTGCGTAACGAACTTTTGCAATTGAGAAAAATGAACAGCTTCGCAAATTCTCCGTACAATGTTTCTTGTAATAAGGTGGCCTGAAATTGGCGAATCATGCAACTCCTGAAAAATACCAGTCTTAAACTAGCTTGGATAACCGGTCTTAATTCGTTATTTTCGTTTGTTGCTTTTGCACGAAATGAGAGAATATCCATAATCTCATAATCTGCGATTTTGATCATGATCTTTTAAATAAGCAGAAAAATTTTTAATTCTGGATCTATTTATAATTCAAAAAATAATAGTCTCGCAATCATTCAGAATTTTCGCAGTTAATTATTTCACACGTAAGTTCATTCCCCTCTTCGCATAATTTTATTCTCAATAGAACGTCGGCCACAGCACTCTATTGTCTCTTTTCCTGGAGTACGTTTTATAATTTAATTCAGTTCTTGCAGTTTAAGGGCCCATTTAATAAGTGTTGGGGATAAATCTTTCTCTGAATACAAACGACCCACGGCAGCGCGATCTGAGTAAATTGTAAAAAGTGGTTTCCTAAAATACACTAGGAATTTCTGAACTGCTAAAAGAACTGTTAATATTTCCTTTTCTGTAGCTGTACAGTTTTTCGGTTGTATTAAGAGTTTTATTGAAGTAAGCTACAGGCTGTCTGTTTTGCACAAGCTTGACTGCCAACCTCTTAATCTGAAGCATAAGCGGCAATTTCTAAGATCACATCGCCTTCAGGAATTTTCAAAACTGTCTCTTAAATTTACACTGTTTTAAATTTTTCAAAATCTCTGTTGGCTTCGGCTGACCAAGTAAATATGGCTTTCTTTCATTTTAATTTTAGCCGCGGTTCGAAGAATGCAAGCCCCACAACGTCACAAATGTTTTCTCTTTATTTCGTGACGTAAACAAATGTCTTCTCTTTATTTAGCTCCACAACAAAATGTTTCCTCTTTATTTCTTAGCGAGCAATTTTTTATCACAACTATTTTGTAATGCTCTGTATTAATCCTTTCAGAGACATCTTATAGCCTAGTAATGGAGTTCCTTGGCTGGAAATGTACATTTTGATGCATTTATTTCTAATCTTGTTTTGTTTAGAAGCGAAAATATTTCATGAAAATCCCTAATATGTTCATATATCGTCTTGCTAGTTATGATTACATTATCTACATAAATAAGTGTACTTTTTCCGAGGACAAATTTTAGTGTAGTATCTATGGGCCTCTAAAACGTGGTGGAACTCCATAACACAAACGGCATTCTGAAAAAGGCATAAACTCCTGAATTTGTAATAAATGTGGTTTTTGGCATATCCTCTTGTTTTACACATACGAGAAAGTATCCAGAGTTAAGATCTAGCGTCGCCAAATAATTTGCTGACCTAATTGTCCTAATTATTTATTCGATTATAGACAGCAGATATTTAGTAATGCTATTTAATTTTCGTTAATTGACTGCAGAACGCCATGACTTATAATCCGTCGGTGGGAGACTATTCTTTTTTTCAGCACAGTATTACCTGGCTAGAGTAAGGGCTACTCATGAAAATTATGATATTTTGAAGAATTTCCTTGATTAGCTTTTGCATGGTTTACTTATTTGATTCTATCGTTGTGGTAGTGCTTTGCTTTACAGGGGGGCGGCATTTCCTGTGTGTATGATGTGGTTTATAATTTGAGAGAGTCTAAGAGTATCATTAAATAATTCAGAAAAACGACTTACCAACTTTTGTTTTTCTTTAGTCGGCAGGTGATTAAGTGTGTTACCGGACGTTGCTTTCCTTCTCCTCAGATTCATGCATATCCAGCTGTACCGTGGTTTGAATAAAATTACTTTTAGCCCTCGCCGCCTTTAAAAAATCAATTCCCCAAACACTGAAGCTTGTAGATTTTTCAAAACGAAGAAAATTAGCTTCTGTTGCTTATTTCTCATCTGGACGTGTATTGTGACATTTCCCGTAGATGTACACTGTTTGCCTTGAACGGCAATAGCTTTTGCCCCTTTAACCCTTAACGTTCTATATCGTGTAAAATAATTTCGAGTAAAGTTCTCCGTGAAAAATATTTTTTGACCACCTCTATCCAATAGTGAGTCTGCTGGAATATTAGTCAACAATATTTGAATTACAGGCAGAACCAAGCTTTTTATAACTAACGTATTCAATTGAATAGTACATATATTTTCTTGCCTTCGGGTAACTCTACCCTTTTACTTTCAGCACCCCTTATTATATTAAGTTTTATTGTCTACTTCCCCTACCCCGTTTTTTTTTCGCGAGTTTTCCCAATTACCACTCGCGGCTGAAAATTTCTTTCTACTTTCAAAACGTTTATTAGTGTTAAACCGTGACCGCCCTTACGCTACATGCCTATAAAACTGACCGTTTGACCTGCTGTCATATCCTGATATGCGCGTACTTTCTGATACCATCCTGCGTTTGTACCTTACCGTGAGTGCAAACAAACTCTTGAACGTACTCAGATTTCTCAAATCCTGGATTTGCAGCAATAGCCTAGGAAATACAATTTGAATGATTCGCATCGGTCTTTTTCCCATATAAAAATTTACGAATTACATTTTTCGTAATACAAATTCTGTCAGTTCTTCGACTTTAATCTGGTAATAGTTCAGCTCCCAGTTCCGCCCTATCTTTTACCACGGAAAACTGTTTTATTAAGGTGGTGTTAAATGTTGGAGTTATTAACTCATAATAAATAATTTCTCATAATAAATATTTACCAATGCATTTTTACCAGCTCAGCATCTGACGAAGGGGTTTGCAATTGTAGCTATTTAATTGTGCTGCTAGTGAAAATGATAAGATTTTTTTGTTTTTAAATTTTACAATTCCATACATTTTAAAGTTCTGTTCAATATTTCCATGGTAGATTTGCATATAAACTATGCTGTTTAACTTTCACATGCATTTACCAGAAATACGGAGGGGGATCCAAAAATATCAGGCAAAATGTAATCCCTGGTAGAACAGACTGTCGAGATGCTCAATACAGAGAACGATTCTCGAGTACCTCCTCTGAGCAACTGCCTCATTTCCGTCCACAACTTGTTATTATAGATAAAACGTATATCTGCGAGCTGCGCAATCGTGTATCGATGCAGACCGTACCTCTCGAGAATGACGATTTGCACCAGCAGATCTGTCTTTCAGCATCGCCGTGAATCACCCAAAAGTGCCATTTTTGAGCAAATATTTCCTCATAAAATCTTATTTCAATTCCTTCTACTTGCATTTATAATTTTTTGTCAGATGGTTTTAATTACTCTGCTAGTTCCTTCTCGCATTTCTCGGATATCAAATATTAAACATCTTTGAGAGACCGAAATGGCATTTTTATAAGAGGTACTTGGGGAACCCTAATGTATTAAAAATATTAATACTAAAGTAATTTTTACTTTGTATATGGTTTTCTAAATACCTTTTTCTTGTCTTTTCAGAACCAGCAGAAAGGCATACTGTGTTATCTGGCGGAAAGGTGTCTCTTCCCTGCGACATTATATCTCCAATGATAGGCGACGAGGTGTATCTGGTGTTGTGGTATAAAGGAGAGATAGCGACTCCCATCTATAGCTTCGATGCCCGAAGGGGACATTTAGGACAGGCCAGGCATTCATCAAGCGACTTGTTATCTCGAAGAGCCTATTTTAACACCATACCCCGACCTGCCGTTCTAGAGATATCACCTGTTGGACCAGAGGACGAAGGAGATTATCGATGCAGAGTGGATTTTAGAAAGGCGCAAACTAGGAACTACCAAATAGCTGTTAAAGTTCTTGGTAAGTAAAGATGAATAAAATTTATGCATTTGTTTATCCTTTGGTTTTTGTACAATAGTAACTATATCGTAATTAAAAATGCAAAAATCCAAGCAAACTTTAGTTTGGCTATTAGAATGAAAAAACAAAATCGTACATCTGAAGAAACACATACTCCTGCATTACTGTGATGAATCACGTACGGTTGAAATGTTCAAACCAACTCAATATCATAGTTGCCTGCAGGCTTTCGACTGCCAGCAGTGTAATGAGCATTCCCGTTAATGCAGACAACCCTGGAGCATTTTGCTTTAATAAATTAACTATTTATACTATACTTGCTGTTGAAAACTAATCAAGATATACGTATAAAGTTAGGTATGTCACTGATGTATCAACATAATTTGTGGTAAAAAATTATATATTTTTACCTCATATAATGGTTTAGCAGCGAAATTAGATTTTAAAGATTAAAGACACCCACCTTGAAGTAAAGCCTACGGGTAGTTCGGAATAGCATGCGAAAATTTCTATCACGTGTTGCAAAATTGTAATAATTTTGTAACCCAAATATATTTGTTATTCAGTTAATGAAAAATAATAAATTTCTAGATATACATTAATATTTCAAATATTCTGAAAATACTTGATTTCTTCTCAAATGATGGAAATCGACAGATTAAACAGTAAAGAAATTAAATTTTAAATCTTTTGATGTATGCAATTTAAAGAGAGATGTATGGATATATCTTCAAAAAGAGGAAATGCTGTTTAGAGGTCTTGAGGTAAAATTGTAAATTAAATATGAGAAGTAACTCTGACCATTTTTTTTTTTATTATTATAGACTTTGCTTGTTGTTAAGAATGAAGTTTTAAACGTGGGCTAAAAACCTCGCAAAATACCATGAAACCGAAATAGTTCCCAGTTATCATTTATCAAGAGCAGTGAATCATTATACCAGAGATAAATGATTTTTTTCCAAGCATAATATGTATTAAACTACCTGAATTCAGACAACTCCACTAGAAGATTATAAAGCAGATATACAAAAGTTTACAGAAATAGTATCACATATACGAAAGTTTGGTTCACATAAATACATTTGAATATATAAACTTTACGAATGAAGGAAATTGTCCTTATTTTTTATCAGTTGTCTCCAAATTTTATTAATTAAATAAACTTAAAACTGATCAGTAACGCGAATTATTTGAGTTTATAAATTATTTGATTGGATTGCTCCCTGTTTTATCCTTGAAAATGGAACTGTATGTAAATTTGATATTACAAAAGTACTAGACGTATTCGTATCATTGTCAATTGAAGTTTGATTCCCGTTTCTGTGAAGCTCAAAGTCAACATTATGAACGGCCATTTTAACGTTAATATAAATCAGTTATTGATTAATATTATGTAAGAGTATACTTTAATATAGAAACAAAATAAGCAGCATACTTAACGGTGATTAATCTGAGGTACGCATGTTTGTTTCCGACGCAAACAAATTGTAGGTATGAGTTAATTAATTTACAGTAGTATTACACTTTATCTCTGATTCCGTTTTTTTATATGCATATGCGAATATATATATTCCCAACACAAACACACATACACACATATATATGTGCATTATGATAACAGCTTTCAGTTGTCCTTGGAATACCCTTTCCCAATTTAGAATGCAATACCTCACACGAGCAATCACACATTCAAATTCGGACACGTACCTTTAACTAAAATCCGAGTCACTGTAAAGATTTTCTCTTGATAAAAATCAGCGCCAGTTTTCCATTTGACTGACTAGCAGTGTTCTGCTATTTTAGACAGTTATTAATGCTGTGAATACATTTCATATAAACTAAAAATAATTGCAGTTAAAAATACCAGCAAGTTGTTAAAATATTCATAATACAAAAATATACGGAAAGAGCAAAGCTTAGTGTAGTTACACCTATGCTTCAAAAGTAATTGCTTTTGGCGAACCTTTTTCTAATCTCAACCGCGTATCGATTCAAGAGCAAGAACGAAAGACTTGAGAACGTTAAAAATCTGTTTGTCTACAAAACCATCCCATGACATTCATAAAGAATAATTTAGCCTTTAATAAAACCCAAATTAGAAGAAAGACGTTCCAGCAACTTGTAATTTTGTATTTCTAACACAAACTCTTAACATTTATTATTTCAAAATATTTATAGAAATAAGCTGCATTATTAAATTATGTTTCTTGCACAACCTACATTTAAAATAATAAGGTAAATATATGTGTGCAGGATTTGGCTAGGGAAGAAGAATTCAGTGTTCGAAAAGTGTCGGTGGAATGAGAAATAGAGCATATATACCGTAGTAATAAAAAACGCCGTTTTCGGAAATTAAGAAGCGTGCCTTGGTTTCTTGATTAAGTTTTCAAGTGTAACGGAAAGTTAGTTGCTAAGTATATTTTCTTTGCTTGCAGTTAGTGCATATGTGAGAGAACTTCGAAAGCTGTTGCAGAGACTTCTAGATTTCAAGATGTTAGGTTTACGTTATATTTCTGAGCGCATACTGGCTAATGTAAATACAGAGATACCAAAATATTGTGGATGAGTAACTTTTTCCCACTACACGATTTTGTAAAATATCCTAAAAATTCCATTTTCGAATAAACATCAATATTTTTCCCAAACAAAATGAAGAAATGCAAAATTGCAAAAATAAAGCTAAGAAGAGTGCAAGGTATGTAAGAAGAGTAACAAAACGTTTGAAATAAATAGCTGCACAGAAGTGCAAAGAAAACTAGGTGAAATGAAAACAAAAAATTTAATTATTTTCATATCTAATAAGAGTATCACGTCCAAACTAATATTATTAACAAACACGACCTTCAAATTGCTGCGGATAATTACAGTTACAACGTGGCATAGTGCATACAAAAATGATCGGGAAAGTGTACAACTGATAATGACGAGGGTGATGTGAACATTGTTGCTTTTAACTATGGGAAGAGAAGAGGAGATAACGACTGCTTAAAACAGAAACATGCAAAATGAAATCTGAAAGGTTCCAGATTTTAAATTACGTCCAAAGGTTTTTTTTTTTTTTTTTTTTTTTTTTTTTTTTTTTTTTTTTTTTTTTTAAACATTATGTGTGTTACCTTTATTTATGAAATATCATGTTCTTCGCACTTAAACCATAAAGTGCACAGTTTAATGTACAACATAACTGAAAAAAAAAATAATAAGTAAAAATTATGCCAATATTAAATTCTGAAGATGACATCTTCATCGTCCTGCTTGGTACACACATGGCTGGAGGGGAATTGTGAAACTTCGCATAAATTTTCGCAGCATTTCTGTCTGTATGATGGCTACGTCATTGAATGATAACCTCTATTTTCAAATAAGGAACAGGGTTTATCGATTTACACTTTAAGGTATATCCTAATTTTATAACAGTTATTTTATATTTAGGAACCTTTCCTATCTCTTCTAGCTTCAGCTTACGATTCCTTACCAGAATGAGTTTTTAAAATAACATTAAATGCAAATGAGAAGTAGAAAGTATTTAAGTTCACTGACCTCGAGCGAGAGAGTTAGTATTCTGAATAGCGCGCGTTTGCCTGTTGGCTACTAACTGTTACTAAGTTTGGCCATATTATGTGCCTTTTGATAGTTTCGCTGGTTAGTTTAATATTAAAGGCCAACTGTTAGCATCGGCTAAATCGCTTTAGTTAGTCACTAGATAGTAGTTATTTCGTACATTTTAAATTAAGCCCAAGTGGAGCCTTTGTTGTACGCTCTGAGAAAAGGGCGTCTGTACATCTTTATTTGGAGCAAATAAAGGGTAATTAACCCTTCTTGAGTTTACTTTTCTGTTCTTGGACTTAAGCGATTAATCGCTTGGTAGTTCACTCGGTTCCTCAACACTAGTAGAATAAAAAGGAAGAACACTGCAACACACTCAGTTTTCAGTAGGTAGAAGTAACAAGAAAAAAGAGCAAATAACCGGTATGATTGCATAGTATCTCCGTATCAAGAAATTAAACCTTTTCGAAACGCATTTATCGAATCCCTAGCCGCGTGGACAACTGCCCGATTCTGTTGAAACCACAGTTCGTTTAGGTTTAGGCTCCTTCTATGAAGTTCTGCAGAGTGCATAGTTCTGTAGCATTTTAATACATTCAATGTTCCTGCCTGATCATCTTATGTAAAGAAATATTGGCCAATTTCCTTAAACGTTTAAGCAGTCCACATGATTTTGTAACCTGTCGTGAGTGTAATACACGCTCACATAATTGTACGAAATTTCTCTGACCAACTCCAGCAATGTATGCACAGAAAAAGCCGATATTTGGAAGATGAAATTTTCAGAACTTGATATTATTATTTATTATTACTGAATATATTACTTACTATTAATTAAGTTTTATTTTTACATTTCCCAGTAATGGCCTACATTAAGGTGCAGAGGTATATAGTAAGGTTTATAACATGAATAAAAAGAAGTTCTTTGCAATTATTAAGCTACTTCATTTCAAAAAGCGATAAGTAGTTCTGTGCCTCTGGTATTTTGATTTATTTGTTTATTATTATTTCCTGTTAAGTTTGCTTATTATGACAACGCACTTTGGTATTTTTTATTTAAGTGCACTGAATTACATGAAGAGAATAAGGCAACTTATAATTTGGTGAACAAAAATTACAAAAATTACACTTAAAAACTGACATAAAAGCTTGGGAGTTTACCTGTGTAATTAAGAAGTGTATTTGCAAGTCGGTGTCCTATTAAGAATTAGTATTATATAGCTATATAATTGTTGCTGCATCAATAAGGTAACAAAATTTATGTTATATTATAAGGCATTCCTTCTTAGCATGCCTTCGTGGTATGGTAGTCAGCACACTCGGCGCGTATTCTAGAGGTCCGTGGTATGAGTCCCGGCAAGGACATTTCTCATTTTTCATGTCTCTTGCTTCATCTCTCCTGCTTCGAAATATACCTGATGTCTCAAAAATTTTTTTATTTAATTATACATATATCG